TGGATTTTGTTTCTTTATCAAATCCAAAACTCTCTTTTAACTGGTAATCTTAATCCATTTACATTTATTTTGATTATTTATATATTTGAATTTGTTTTTACCAATTTATTTTTAATTTTATTTGTCCAATTTTTGTCTATTTTGCTTTTTGCTCTTTCCTTGTCTTTTCTGAATGGAGTTCTTATGCTAATTTTCTTATTATTACATTTTCTCCATGGGTAGAAATTTATGAACTCCATTTCTATTCTTTTGGTGAATACTTTTAAATTTTTTTTAATTCATAAAGGTATTCATAAAAATTTAACTCTATAAAATCTAGAATTCACCAATATCTTTTTTTTTTTTTAATGAACACAACAGAATTTAATGAATCCAAGAAAATCTTGGTTCTTTTCAAGTTGTCCCCTGGGAGGGTTTCACACCTGCTCTAATTACAAGGTCACTGTGCAAAACTTCTTATGGAGTTTCATTCTTTTGATCTCTGGAATATCAACATTGGCAAAGTTAACCCATATCTTAATTCCTTCTTCAATCAAGGACCTCAGAATACTTCCAGTCTCATCACCCTCCTGCTAATTTACATTCTGCCCCTTTTTTATCCCACAATTTTAATATTATTATGGATTTTTTTGTACACACTGTTTGTTTAGATTTACCAAAATTATTACCATTTTATTTGTTCACATTCTTTCTTGCATCTCAGACCATGCTTATGGCATCAAATATCTTCTTCCTAGACTATGCTTTTAGAAGTTGCTTTGGTGAAAGTCTGTTGATTTTAAAACATCGGTTTTTATTCATCTGAAAACGTCTTTATTAAAAGATTTTTTGAGGGTGCACAATTCTAGGTTAATAGTTACGAGGGTACTTCAAAAAGTTCATGGAAAAGTAGAATTGAAAGATAATATAAATCTTTCCATGAACTTTTTGAAGTACCCTTGCATTTTCTCAAAACACTATGAACATATTATTCGACTGTCTTCTGGATTTCGTTGTTGCTGTGGACAAGTCTGCTTTCAATGTAATTGTTATTCCTTTCTAGGTAATCTGACTTTTCTTTCTGGATGCTTTAAGATCTCCTCTGTGTCTCTGGTGTTCTACCCTTTAACTGCTGTGTGCGCACACGTGTGTGTGCAGAGAAGGGAATCCTTGGAGATCCTTCTTACTTCTCATGAGCTCAGCAATGCTTTAAAAAGTATATTTTATTCATGACCCAGTTGTTTTGTTAGAGGGAGATCCTTCAGAGTATCTGGTCTGCCACAATTTCAGAAGCAGATGTCTGTGTGGTTCTTTGTATGTGCACAACCCTGTGTGTGCACGTTGGTGTAGTGGAAACTTCTGGGGGTGCACATCCTTAGTCTATTTTTCTAGTTCAAGCGTAAGCCCTCCAGGTCAAGGAACTTTCATTCTGTTTCTCTCATTACTTCCTGACTTTTGCACAGCTCTGCCCCCAAAGACTACACATCCTTCAGCATCAATGCCCCCCCTGGAGTGGTTGTGGATGTTACCCACAGCCCTCCAGCCAAGAAGAAGCCCACAGGTTCCTACAAATGGCCCCTGGACCGTGAGCTGGAGGTGACTCTGCGGATGAAAGCTCCCAGCAGTAGCACAGATGACCAGAAGGTGAGTGTTGCAGCTGTGGGGTGAAGTGTGGCAGGACATCAGCAGGGGAGCAGCTGTTCACAGCCTGTCCTGCCTTGATCCACAGTGACAATCTTGGCAGAGCCCCCCTCCCTCTGGAAAAGCTCATGATGGCTTCTTCCAGCTATAGTCCCCATGAACAATTATATAAGGGATGCCAGGTGTTTCTGGAGGCCAGGGTTTTGATTAAATTCATCCATTCGGCAAATGCTTAATAAGCATCTAACACGTGTCAGGCACCACCAGGCACTAGAAATATAGAAATGAACAAGGCAGATGAAGTTGCAGCCCTCATGAGGCTTACAATCTTTGAGTGGGGGTGTCAGATAATATATAGATAAGCAGACATCAATTACAAATAGTGGTAAGTCCTCTGAAGGCCACAGACAGGTAGTCCCAGGGAACTCTGGTCCATGCCCCTGTCTTAGTTTCCTGTGGTTACTGTAGCAAATTACCGCAGTTAGCTTAAAACAACAGAAATGTGTTCTCTCACCATTCTGGAGGACAGAAGTCTGAAATCGAGGTGTCAGCAGGGCCACACTCCCTCTGGGGGTTCTAGTACAGAATCAGCTCTTTGCCTCTTGCAGCTGCTGGTGGGTGTCAGCGCTCCATGACTTGTGGCTGCGTCAACCCACTCTCACCTCATGGGGTTTTTTGCCCCCTCCCCTTCTTTCTGTAATCTCCCTCTGCCTCTCTTATGAGGACACTTGTCACTGGATTTGGGGCCCACCTGGATAATCCAGGATGATCTCCTCATCTCAAGATCCTTAANTTCAAGCGTAAGCCCTCCAGGTCAAGGAACTTTCATTCTGTTTCTCTCATTACTTCCTGACAGCCTCACAGTACTTAGTCCCTATGGTCAGGGTAAACACTGGTTGCTGTCTGGAGTTTATACCTGTTGAGAAAAGGAGTAATGCTGGGGACAGCAGTGGTGGGCTAGGCTACCTCACAGGGTCTGTCTGTACCCCTATCTGTCTTTTGCACAGCTCTGCCCCCAAAGACTACACATCCTTCAGCATCAATGCCCCCCCTGGAGTGGTTGTGGATGTTACCCACAGCCCTCCAGCCAAGAAGAAGCCCACAGGTTCCTACAAATGGCCCCTGGACCGTGAGCTGGAGGTGACTCTGCGGATGAAAGCTCCCAGCAGTAGCACAGATGACCAGAAGGTGAGTGTTGCAGCTGTGGGGTGAAGTGTGGCAGGACATCAGCAGGGGAGCAGCTGTTCACAGCCTGTCCTGCCTTGATCCACAGTGACAATCTTGGCAGAGCCCCCCTCCCTCTGGAAAAGCTCATGATGGCTTCTTCCAGCTATAGTCCCCATGAACAATTATATAAGGGATGCCAGGTGTTTCTGGAGGCCAGGGTTTTGATTAAATTCATCCATTCGGCAAATGCTTAATAAGCATCTAACACGTGTCAGGCACCACCAGGCACTAGAAATATAGAAATGAACAAGGCAGATGAAGTTGCAGCCCTCATGAGGCTTACAATCTTTGAGTGGGGGTGTCAGATAATATATAGATAAGCAGACATCAATTACAAATAGTGGTAAGTCCTCTGAAGGCCACAGACAGGTAGTCCCAGGGAACTCTGGTCCATGCCCCTGTCTTAGTTTCCTGTGGTTACTGTAGCAAATTACCGCAGTTAGCTTAAAACAACAGAAATGTGTTCTCTCACCATTCTGGAGGACAGAAGTCTGAAATCGAGGTGTCAGCAGGGCCACACTCCCTCTGGGGGTTCTAGTACAGAATCAGCTCTTTGCCTCTTGCAGCTGCTGGTGGGTGTCAGCGCTCCATGACTTGTGGCTGCGTCAACCCACTCTCACCTCATGGGGTTTTTTGCCCCCTCCCCTTCTTTCTGTAATCTCCCTCTGCCTCTCTTATGAGGACACTTGTCACTGGATTTGGGGCCCACCTGGATAATCCAGGATGATCTCCTCATCTCAAGATCCTTAAACTTGCTTACATCTGAAAAAACTTTTTTCCAAAATAACATCACAGGTTCCAGGGATTAGGACATGGTCATATCTTTTTCAGGGACCACCATTTGACCTACTACACCCCCTGTGATTATAGATGAGCTCAACAGGACCCTCTGGGGTTCTCTCAGAGATCTGGGCTAACAGTCACTTGTTCCCAGCAGAACAGGCCAAGCAGGCTCCTCCCTGGGAGCAGAAAGTTGTCACCTGCTATAGGATCACAGAGCTTGGGTGTGCAGGCTGCGGTGGACAGGGAACACTTCCTGGAAGAAGCGGAAAACTGAAAGATGGCACAGATGACTTGCCTAAGAGAGGGACAGAGGAGGGATAGCTCTATGTCCACGGGAGGCCTAGGTGTGCACTGTGGATTAGGAGAGGGTAAGGCACATGATGGGGAAACTGAGGAAGTTCTTTGTGGCAAGAAAGGAGGGTGGAGAGGGAGGTGAGGGAGAGAGGGGGCCAGTATAAAGGGTTTGGTATCAGCGGACACAAAAGTTTCCTGCTGGGGAGTGACAGGACCGCATTTGTCTTTTCAAAAGTTCCCACTGGCTGCTGCGTAGTGAGCAGACGGGATCTAGGGGGTGGATGAAGGCAGGGAGACCACACAGGCTGAGGCCATGGTCCAGACGAGAGGTAACAGCAGCTGTGGCATTACCCTGGATCCCCACTATCTACAGGACAGGTCCAGACACCTCAGTGTGTCCCCCGAGAGCTCCTTTTCTTCTGGTGACAGCTCTTTCATTTTGCTTTGGGGAACTCCCCACGGCCATTTCGCATGGGGTCAGTCCGGATGTCCTGCCCTCCTCTGGCCAGACTGGACCCCTTGGACAGGTTCTACCTGGATTTTGAACCTTGGTCAGAGGGGGTTGGTGTTTCTACATCTCCACGGCACCTGCCGTGAAGAGACCACCACCCATGCAAAGCACCTGCTGCCCAGATCTCCACTGGACTTGGCCTCTGACCTTTCTGAGGTCTGTTTCCCCAGGTCTGTCCCTGATCCCTTCTGCTTGCTAGAGTCTATTTAGTGTCTGTAGAATGACTAAGAGAAGTCACTAGTGGTCTGCTGCTGTCCTGTAGGTTCAGATTTCATACTACGGACCCAAAATCCCACCGGTGCAAGCCCTGCTCTACCTCACCGGGGTCGGTAAGTGATGACCAGGACCCTGAAGTGCTGCCCCCTGCCCCTCCACACACACCCCTGCGGGGCATCTCTCCAGGAGAAATTACACCTGGAGCTTATTTTAGACTGAGCAGAGAAAAAGGACAATTTCTAGGCAGTCGTACATCCAGTAATTTATAAATATTTCATCCCCAGTCGGTGAACCACAAAGAAATACCGGGGGGGGGAGGCGCTGCAAGGAGCTTTAATTACATCTTAACATTTTATTTCTCAAGTTAGGAAGTGGGTACATGGATTTTCAATATACGAGTCTCTATTCCTTTTTGACACCTGAAATATTTATAACAAAAAGTGCATGATAAGGGGGCCGGCCCGGTTGCACACTGCTACAGTGCGCCACTTGGGAGTGTGGCGGTGCTCCCGCCGAGGGTTTGGATCCCACATACAGACCGGCCGCTCACTAGCTGAGCGAGGTGCGGGCGCAACACCGAGGGTTGCGATCCGTTGCCGGTCACGAAAAAAGACAAAAAGGAAAAAAAAAGTGCATGATAACACTGTCTTATACAATAATATAGACCCGCATTCCTCAAATTCCATTATTTATATCCCAATTGTTGCCATATCAATGATCCACCTGTACTCATATTTATTTAATATTATTCTTTAAATAAAAACCGTTTTTAACTTGATCTTGAACAATAATAACGTGACATGATTATTATTTAAATGTGTATCAAATATATAAATAGCATGTGAAAACTTCAGGTTCCATTTCACTAATGAATTTTGTTCATTAATACATTTGTAAATAATAGTAATAACATAGCACTTACTCTATTGCCAGGCACTGTGTGAAGACTTTACATTTAACCCTGACAACAATCCAGTGAAATTGGTATTTTTATTATCTCATTTTACAGATGATGAAACTGAGGCACAAGAGGTAAACAGACTTGCCCAAGGTTACACAGCTGCTTAGCGAAGGGTCACTCTGTCACGCTGTGGGCATAAGGATCCACATTATTGGAAAGACAGTGTGGTCATATATTCCAATGAGGCAGGAAGGGTTTACAAAAAACATATACCTTCTCCGCCATGCCATTTGGACAGTCGGGAATGTTTGGGGCCAAGATTTGTCCCTTAATGCAGACACAATTCACATAGTAAAGAGCTGGATGGGATGTCATAACCACTGTGTCCTTCATCCACTGGAGGCTGGGGCTTGGGCCAGAGTCCTTTGAGAACAATGCAGACACAATTCACATAGTAAAGAGCTGGATGGGATGTCATAACCACTGTGTCCTTCACCCACTGGAGGCTGGGGCTTGGGCCAGAGTCCTTTGAGAACCTGGCAAGGTGTCCTTGAAAGGGGTTCACAACAAACCTCCAGTGGGGGTGGCTGGGGATTCTTTCTGAAATCCCTGGGGGTGGCAGACATGAAGGATCTGGTTGGCATCACAACACAACCTCACCCTCTGCCCTGCCCTGACCTGCCAAAGGAGAGCAGGTACGGTCCAAAGCCCCAGCGTCTGTCTGAATTGCAGCCAAACTTCCTAGGGGACTTGTGCGAGGCCGTATCTTGAACCTGTGTCTCCTCTGAAGGAGGGGGAGAGAGGTTTCCACTCTTGGTGCAGTCTCGTGGGGAAAGGACCTGCCCATCCAACCAACCCTCTCCTCTTACTTGGTGGGATTTCAGAAATCGCCCTGCATGCAGACATCACCCGTACTGGCAAAGTGACGCCGGGCAAAGTGAAGCCGACCAGAGCCCTGAAAGACCAGGTACCGATCACCCCTGACCACCACCCCGAATGCTCCCTTAGGCCCTGCTGAGTTTTTCCTAGAGCGCCCCCTTGTGGTGATAGGGTGAACCGTGTTCTGTCTCATGGATCCCACGTTACCTGTAAAAAAAAGAAAAAAGACAGAGAAAGAAGAAAGTTAGAAACACCACTAACATTTTGGTTATATGTTTCCTGTATCTTTTACAAGATGAGATGTGAGGTTCAGAGAATGTGTTTTCCTACACACTGGAAACTCTACAGAGTCACCCTGTTAATACACAGCAGAGAGAAAATGTGTAGGCAGGTCTTGACTCTGGCTCAAAACTCCTTTACCCCAGGCTTTGAAGGCCGGTGGGAGAGATTCCTGTAGTGCTGCTTACGTGGGGTGAATAATAGAGAAAAGAAAAAATTACAGAGAGAAAGGAGGGAAGGGGCCAGATGGGGGCAGGGAAAGATGGGGCAGTGGGCTGTGCAGAAGGGACATGGGAACAGTAGTCTTACTGGGATCCATTTCAGGGTGACCCTGAAACCCCAAAGCTGCCTGCAGAATTTTATGCTGATATGTACTGGCGGCTGTAACCTGTACATGATTAAGATCCCTGGTAGGGTCAGATACAAGTGGGGGGAGAATTTTAACTCTGGGGCTGGAATCCATCCCTTATGTCCCTCCCCAAATGTAGTCATTTCCCAGGGGCAAATGCTCTCCTACAAACGGAGGCGTCATTGCTATTAGATCTCTGAGGGGTGGGACCCCTTAATTTGCTTTAATCTTCGGAGAGATGTAACTGGCTACTAAGAATAGTACCCACACTTTGGTGAATGAGTAATCAAGAATTCACATAATGTAACTATTTAGATTAGAATCTTGACACACAGATTTAGCTCTATTTGGTTTGTCAACCCAACATTTTTAAGAAGCTGTTAAAATCAATTTTACCATCTTGGGCTCCTTTTTAAAAATAAATAAATTGTATTTTTGGTGAATTTGTTTATGACTTTTGGAGCAGGCAAAAATCCACTCTTGGATTTATTCGATGTGGGAGGAAGATGAGTAACCAGCAGGAAGCTAGATGCTAGGGAAAGTCGTCTGTGCGTCCCCCAAGAGCTGGAGGGAGCTATTCTGGTCCCTAAGCGTGCCCTTATCTACCGGTGTCCACAGAAGACCTGGACCTGGGGCCCTCATGGACAAGGTGCCATCCTGCTGGTGAACTGTGACAAAGACAATCCCAAGTCTTTCACCATAGACTGCAAGGATAATAAAGTGCTTGACAGCAAAGGTAAACACTCCACAGCTAATGGGAATGGGGCCTTGTCTTTTTCTCAAGGCTTTTTGTCCATGTGGCCTGAGCCTTGCAATGGCCCTCCGAAATAGGGGTTATCAAAAGCGTGATCTTGGGCTGGCCAGTTAGCTCACTGGGAGACTGTAGTGCTGATAACACCAAGGTCAAGGATTCGGATCCTTGTACTGGACACCTGCCTCCCCTCCCCCAAAAGTCCATTTTATAGGTGAAGGAACAGACAAAGGTCCTGAGAGGGTAAGTAACCTGCCCAAGGTCACACAGCAGTCAGAGAAGAGCTGGGACCAACATTGAGGCTCCAGTTTCCATGCCCAGCCCACTGTCCAACTAAAACTTCTACTCTTGGGTTAGTCCTGGAGGCTGAAATAATTCTAAATGAAAGCTTGTCCCAAACTCATGTTGGAGCAGCCCCTGAGGCCCCTGCCCCAGGCCCGGCACCACTCTGAGCATGTCAGAATATTTCACTCATTTGATCTTTCAGCACAGAGCATCACAGATGGGGAAACTGAGGCACGGGGAAGTTAAGCAATCTGCCCACAGTCGCACAGCTAATCAGTAGCAGACTCAGGATTTGAACCCCAGACATCCTGACACCAGAGCAGGTTTAAGGGCTTGAGGATAGTGGTGGATGCAGGGTTTCTGCAGGCACACCTCTGGGATGCTGAGGGATGACCCCAGGGTGGGGATCGGGAGACACGTTACCCACCTGCACTGGAGGAGGGTACTAAGGGCCTGGGCTGGTGGCCTTCCCAGGGAGCTGCCAGGATAACACAGAAACAGGTGCATTTTTAAGTTGCATGCATCGGCTGGGCCCGATGCCAGGGGACAGCCCTGCACAGTGCCTGGCACCAGTGATAATAAGAACAGCTACGCTTTGTGGGCACTGCCGGGCACAGGCACTGCAACAAGCACCTTGTGTCTATCACCATGCATCGGCTGGGCCCGATGCCAGGGGACAGCCCTGCACAGTGCCTGGCACCAGTGATAATCAGAACAGCTACGCTTTGTGGGCACTGCCGGGCACAGGCACTGCGACCAGCACCTTGTGTCTATCACTCCCCTTTATCTTCACAGCGACCCTGTGGAGAGCACCACCCTTTCTCCTGTTTCACTGATGAGGAAACAGAGGCACCGAGAGCTGAACTAACTTTCCCCAGCTCAGACAGGTCCAGGATTCAAACTAAGTGACCCCAAAGCCCTTAACACTTTGACTGTCATCCAGTTGGTATCGAGTACCTGCAGGTGCTGGACGTTGTTCCAGGTGCTTCTCGGTTTTCTAGGTTCCAGGTGCTGGGGCCACTGCAGTGAACGAAATAAACGTGATCCCNATAGTACCCACACTTTGGTGAATGAGTAATCAAGAATTCACATAATGTAACTATTTAGATTAGAATCTTGACACACAGATTTAGCTCTATTTGGTTTGTCAACCCAACATTTTTAAGAAGCTGTTAAAATCAATTTTACCATCTTGGGCTCCTTTTTAAAAATAAATAAATTGTATTTTTGGTGAATTTGTTTATGACTTTTGGAGCAGGCAAAAATCCACTCTTGGATTTATTCGATGTGGGAGGAAGATGAGTAACGAGCAGGAAGCTAGATGCTAGGGAAGTCGTCTGTGCATCCCCCAAGAGCTGGAGGGAGCTATTCTGGTCCCTAAGCGTGCCCTTATCTACCGGTGTCCACAGAAGACCTGGACCTGGGGCCCTCATGGACAAGGTGCCATCCTGCTGGTGAACTGTGACAAAGACAATCCCAAGTCTTTCACCATAGACTGCAAGGATAATAAAGTGCTTGACAGCAAAGGTAAACACTCCACAGCTAATGGGAATGGGGCCTTGTCTTTTTCTCAAGGCTTTTTGTCCATGTGGCCTGAGCCTTGCAATGGCCCTCCGAAATAGGGGTTATCAAAAGCGTGATCTTGGGCTGGCCAGTTAGCTCACTGGGAGACTGTAGTGCTGATAACACCAAGGTCAAGGATTCGGATCCTTGTACTGGACACCTGCCTCCCCTCCCCCAAAAGTCCATTTTATAGGTGAAGGAACAGACAAAGGTCCTGAGAGGGTAAGTAACCTGCCCAAGGTCACACAGCAGTCAGAGAAGAGCTGGGACCAACATTGAGGCTCCAGTTTCCATGCCCAGCCCACTGTCCAACTAAAACTTCTACTCTTGGGTTAGTCCTGGAGGCTGAAATAATTCTAAATGAAAGCTTGTCCCAAACTCATGTTGGAGCAGCCCCTGAGGCCCCTGCCCCAGGCCCGGCACCACTCTGAGCATGTCAGAATATTTCACTCATTTGATCTTTCAGCACAGAGCATCACAGATGGGGAAACTGAGGCACGGGGAAGTTAAGCAATCTGCCCACAGTCGCACAGCTAATCAGTAGCAGACTCAGGATTTGAACCCCAGACATCCTGACACCAGAGCAGGTTTAAGGGCTTGAGGATAGTGGTGGATGCAGGGTTTCTGCAGGCACACCTCTGGGATGCTGAGGGATGACCCCAGGGTGGGGATCGGGAGACACGTTACCCACCTGCACTGGAGGAGGGTACTAAGGGCCTGGGCTGGTGGCCTTCCCAGGGAGCTGCCAGGATAACACAGAAACAGGTGCATTTTTAAGTTGCATGCATCGGCTGGGCCCGATGCCAGGGGACAGCCCTGCACAGTGCCTGGCACCAGTGATAATAAGAACAGCTACGCTTTGTGGGCACTGCCGGGCACAGGCACTGCAACAAGCACCTTGTGTCTATCACCCCCCTTTATCTTCACAGCGACCCTGTGGAGAGCACCACCCTTTCTCCTGTTTCACTGATGAGGAAACAGAGGCACCGAGAGCTGAACTAACTTTCCCCAGCTCAGACAGGTCCAGGATTCAAACTAAGTGACCCCAAAGCCCTTAACACTTTGACTGTCATCCAGTTGGTATCGAGTACCTGCAGGTGCTGGACGTTGTTCCAGGTGCTTCTCGGTTTTCTAGGTTCCAGGTGCTGGGGCCACTGCAGTGAACGAAATAAACGTGATCCCCACTTTGTCAACTTACAGTTGACCCTAGAACAACGTGGGGCTTAGGGGTGCCAAATGCCCCCATTCGAAAGTTGGCATATAAGAGTCGGCCCCGCAGAACCTGCCCAGGTGAAACGCCAGCCCAACACATCTGCTGGTTCTGCATCCTGCCAATATGTGCTCAATCCGCAGTTAGCTGAGAAAACTCCACGTGTAGAAGGACCCACGTGGTGCAAACCCACGTTCTTCAAGGGCTTGCTGTACATCCTAAGCTTGTCCCAGGGGGAGAAGACCAAAACCTTAATTAGCTTTCACTCCAAAATGAAAATCATTAGGGCCGAGCCCGTGGTGCACTCGGGAGAGTGTGGAGCTGGAAGCGCAGCAGCGCTCCTGCTGTGGGTTTGGATCCTATATAGGGATGGCCGGTGCGCTCGCTGGCTGAGTGCGGTGTGGCCGGTCTCAAAAAGGACAAAAAAAAAAAATGAAAATCATTCCAGAAATAGCATAAAGAAATAGAACCAGGCAATATGGTAACGAGAAGTCTGACAGGAGGGGTGGGTAGCAGGGGCTGCATATGACACAGGCTGACCAGCTGGTGGTCTCAGGCCAAGCCCTTCTATTCCAGACCTGCAAGACATGTCCCTGCTGACCCTGAGCACGAAGACCCCCAGGGACTTCTTCACCAAACATCGACTGGTGCTTCATATGGCCAAATCTGAGATGCACAAAGTGAGAGTGTTTCATGCCACACGTGAGTGGCCTTCATCTGCCCTGTCCCCATCCCTGATAGTTTCTCCCCATCAGCGTTCCCTTCCTGCCCCAGCCAGGGGGGCACTGCCCCATCACACACCACTTCAGTGAGTAATTTCTGAGCACCTACTGTGTGCTAGGTCCTAAGAACCCGGGTCACAGCAGTGAGCAAGACAGACGACATCTCTGTCCACCACCTTCTAGAGGGAGATGCAGACAAGATCAGGGCCAGGGCTGGTGAGCGCGGAGAAGGAAATAACCTCCCTCCAGGACGGAGACTCATGTTATCTCTCTCTCTCTCTCTCTCTCTCTCTCTCTCTGTCACACACACACGCACACACACACACACTTCTTGCTTATAGAGATTTCTGAGTGCAAGCTGACTGCTTGTGTTAGGTAATAATTTGTTCTCAACCTCCTGCTAATCAGGTATCAGTAACGTTTCAGTAGCTCACAAGCCCCTGCTACTAAATGAGTGCCAGGCTCAGCTCTAGGCACGAGGTATAGAGCCGTGGACAGGACAAAGTCCCGGCCCCCATGTCCGAGTGGGTTGGGAGAGACGATAGAATAATTAAGTACAACACCTAGCGTGTGGAACGGTGTTGATCACTGTGTAGAAGAACACAGCAGGAAAGGGGTGTGGAGTGAGCGGTGCAGCTGGGGGCTGTGGAGAGAGGGCGGTCAGGGAATGCTCTCCCCATAAGGTGTCATGTGAGCAGAAGGAGGTGCAGGAGAGCCATGCAGACACCCAGGGCCAGGGCATTCCAGGCAGAGAGAATGGCGAGTGCAAAGGCCCTGAGCTAGGCTGGGGCCAGTGGGTTTGAGGAATGCAGGGAGGCCAGCAGGGAGAGGAGATGGGGTAGGCATGTGTTACTTTGGCTTCTAGACTGAGGAAGATGGGGGAGGCCACGTGAGGGTATTTTGCAGAGGCACGGCTCGATTGGACTTCTGTTTTAGACCAAAGTGATTAAACCAACACTGGTATGGTGACAGACCAACTTCTTGCCTCTGCCTAGGCATCACCTCCTCCAGGAAGCCCTCAGGGCTTTCCTTCATCACAGCACTTATCCCTGTCTGTTATTTTGATGGTCTTTGCTCCTCTCTACTCAGCCACCAGACTGTGCAGTCCCTGGGAGTCAGGAGGAGAGGATGGTGACTCTGTCTCCCGGGTTCTCCCCTGCCCCAGCCCCTGGTCTCAGCTGAGATCTGGCTGGAGCGGGAATGAATGAGCAAGTGGTGTGTACTGGACTTCCTATAAACTTGGGAATGACTCAGGCACCCCCATCACACCTTTCCTGGACCCCCAGCCAGGGGAGCAATGTCCCAACTGGGGCTTTGGTCCCTTTCTCCTAAGGGAAGGTTCTTGCCAGATTTGCTGTGAGGGGCCCTCAGGTGGTGACATGTGGTGGCCCTGGGAAAGGCATCCCAGAACTGGGGAGAAGAGAGGAGAAGAGGATCTTCTGAGATGGGGGCACAGAACTGAGCCTCCCTGGCCCCTCTCCTAGGGGGCAAACTGCCCTCCAGGTACAGGATGGTCCTGGGGCCCCAGCAGCCCTCTCACCCCCTGGAGGTCCCAGCCGGCGAGCACAACACGGACTTCTATGTGGAGGGCCTCGCTTTCCCAGATGCCGACTTCTCAGGGCTCATTTCCTTCACTGTCTCCCTGCTGGACATGTCCAACCTGGTAGGCCAAGAAGGCAGCCCAGAGGGAGGGGCCTGGCTGGGGGAGAGGGGCTCCGAGTAGCCGCTGGGTAGTGTAGGGCTCTGGCTGCTGTGACAGCTGCTCCCTCCCTCCTCCTCCCCTTCAGGAGCTCCCAGAGACCCTAATTTTCCAAGACAGTGTGGCCTTCCGCGTGGCCCCCTGGATCATGACCCCCAACACCCAGCCCCCACAGGAGGTGTACGTGTGCAGGTGAGGGGCCCTGGAGTGCTGGGGGCGGGGCTCGGGTACACCAGCAGGAGCCCCGAGTCCTGGCTGCAGCACTCCCGTGTGAATGGGGAAGACAGTCATCCCTACCCTGACTCACTGAGAGCTGGGTGCTTGTTTGGGACCATAGAAAGGCAGGAAAAAATTGTTATTGCTGCCGACATTGTCTCTATCCTGCCCTGATGTAGGCTGAGGCCTGCTTTAGCTACCAGGGGCCGGTGGTGGTTGCTAGACCCAGAAGAGGAGGCCCCTCAACCCCCGGTTTCTCTATGGACCTCCTGCACCAAAAACTCCTGGAAACTTGCTTAAAATGCACCTTCCAGGCCAACCTCTGAGCTGCTGGGTCTTGTCTCTGGGAATGGGGCCCATCAGCATCTTGGGGAGGCCTAGGCGTCCATCCTGCAGTCTGAGAGCCCCCCCATATGTGTGTGGAGTCTCTGGGGACCCTCTTCTCTTCCGATTGCTTCAGGGGCGGAAAGTGTAACCTGATTGTCAGGATGCAGGCCAGAGCCAGAGAGGCCTGGATTCAAATCCCAGTGCTGTCCCCAGGGGCCGTGACCTTGGGCAATGACTTCCCCACTCTGTCTTCTCAGTGGAAGGGGTACCTGCTAATACCTGCCCCGTGGATTGTTATGAGTGTTCAGTTAGATGATGCTTGCTAAGAGCAGGGAGACAGGACGAACGTCTCTGGTTCTGGCCACAGGTGTCTCCTGAGCACCTGTGTGCCCTTCCCCCACCCTCCAGGCCTGAGCTCCAGAATCCACAGCACTAAGGAGCTTCTTTTTGGCTCTTTCTAGGATTTCTGGAAATGAAGACTTCCTGAAGTCAGTGACTGCTCTGGTCAAGAAAGCCAAGTGCAAGCTGACTGTGTGCTCCGAAGAGGAGAACATGGACGACCAGTGGATGCAGGTATGTGGACCTGCGGGGCGGGCGGGGTGCACATCCCTGAGGGTCAAGAGGTGCCTGGGGGACCAGGCTCCGTGGGCTCAGCCTAACGCCTTGCTGACCACCCTTCCCTGGATGGACAGGGAGGTGGGAACCTCTGGGGGTCCTTGCGTAAGGGGACTCAAGCAAAGGATTCATCTGACATTTACTGTGGGCCACTGTGGGCCACCATGGTCACCACGATGAAAGCCACCTTCCTGCTTGAAAACTCTCAGACAGCTTTGGGAAATGAGGCACAGCTTGGGAGGTTGTTGCTCAGCGAGTCCCTGGAGGGGCCTCCCCCGTGCTGGCCTTCCTGGCTGTGCCTTGGGACACCTTGCCCTTCCGCGCCATTCACCCGGCTCCTACCTCCACACCTTGGCCCTTGCTGTGCCTTCTCTCGGACCATCATGCCCATTGCCAGCCCCACGTCCACAGCATGCCCGTGGCATTCCGGCTTGAATGCTCCCTTGCACACGTTCCCTTAACCCCCCTGATGGACTTCATCCCTCTTTCTTCTAACCCCCCAAATAACATCCTCTCCCCCTTTCTCGTC